AAATTTACCACTGATGAGAAAGCTCCTGACATTGATCTAGTAAGTCGAAAAGTAGCTTCACATGGTTGTGAACTATAATTCGATATCGATAGAGCAGATTCAGGCAACTTATGTTGGCACACAAGCAGACAAACTGCAAGTAAACTATGAGCATTAAGCTCAATAGAAAAAAGTGCAGGACCCGTAATGAACAAATTTTTTTTTGTTTCAACACGGTATCCTAAAATATCTTTTTCATCGATTATTTGCAGCCAAGTCTGCCATATACGACATAAAAAAACTGAAAACCAACTATGATAGATGCGATCAATAATCGAAGTATTATGTTCTACGTATGCTAAAACGACAGAACGTAAAAGACGTAAATAAACTCGTGTAGCTTGAGAACCATCGATATCTTCTAGAGCAGCGAGTACGTCATCATTTGAAAGCTTGATACAAGCTTTGAAATTTTGCCGGTCTTTTGGTTCAATGTCTGTCTTCACTAATCCATGCACAAGCTTTGATTTAGTTTCAATCAGTTTCATCAATACTTCGATAGAAACTACTTCATTCCCAATCAGCATTGTTGCTTTTTTAGAAAGCATGCGATTACGAAGTTTAGTGCACAAATGTATTGGATCTTGAAAACAGAAAAATACTTGACGAGTTTGCATGAAAAACCAAGCTGACCAATCTTTCGGCAAGTCAATCTCGAGCACATCTTTACGATCACATAGAGAGATATTTACAAATTTTGCGAAAAAACTGGTAGCGAGACGCATCGCAAGCAGGTATCTAGGATCGCAATCAGTTGAAAAAGCAACAATACGAACATTCGACTGTTTAGACTTTTCGAACATCCAAATCCATCGGTTAAGAACATCGATAGCTTTAAAGTTATTGCTAATCCCATATGCAGCCAGTAGAAATGGCGATGAATATGGACTAGATGCTATGAGTGGCTGAACCATGTGAACATTTAAATAATCTGTTTTATCTTTATTTTCAAACCAATTTTTTAATTCATCAAATGAATCAGTTTGAAAATAACGAGCGACAGGAATGCCACGTTCTAATGGAAGTGAAAACCCAGTGAACGTGTTAGTAGCAGCATTATATGTAACTTTTTTAATGACTGCAGTCGCATCTTCAGAACAAACAGCTATCTGGTAGCCATAAGATTTCTGATGATCATGAAGTACATTGTACCGAAATTCACCCTCTTCAATGCACGCACCAGCCTTTCCAAGACTTTCGTTTAAGGTAGGCATAGAGGGGATTGCACCAGGCAAATTCAGTCGTACAAATTCATATACATTTCTTCCACCTAGTATGTACAATGACTGAGCAAAATGCATTACAGCTTCACTATATCGATAGTTATTTTTATTTTTCACAAGATTACTGAAAATATTTTCGATAAAAGCTATAAGAAAACAATAGCTATTTTGTGAATCATCGTTTTCATTTAACTGAAAAGATTTTGTTAAATTTTTCAACAAAGAAAAAAAAACATCATTTAAACTAGCTGTCTGTTCCTGGTCTCGGCTCTGATTGTTTACAGCATGCAGAGCTTCAATAAAACGATCATAATCCAAGCGTAGCCCAGGTTTAAGCATAATCGTATCATCATCAAGATGTAGACAAGCTCGTTGTGTTATTTTTTCTAGTTCTTTATACTTTTTCTGAAAAACAGCAAGAATATCGTTTTCAAGCAACAGTAACTTATGAACAGTATTGATTGAAAGTACTTCCATCAATTCTTTAAAAATTTCTCCACACGTTTGATTAACTAATTCGAAAAATTTCTCACCTTCAAAAGATAGAACATTGTCAGGTAAAGCAAGTGGAGAGAACATTGGTAGCATTTTGTGAATTTACCTACACAACAAGATAATAAACGATAATTTTATCATCATTTTTCAATAAAAACTCACTTGCTTGCAAACTGATCGACAACAATAAATAACAAAATAGCAAAACATCAACCTCATATATACAAACGAGCGAAAGAGGAAAAAAGAAGAGAAATTCTATTTGCTGTGAGAAGAGAGAAGGAGAGATTTTTAAAATCTTCTAAAATGTATTGGTTGAATTTGTTAGAAGACTTTTGTCGCTCTCCTTATTTTGCAACCGTTGGAAGTTCGTTATTATCCAGGCGCAATCGTTAGATAAACGATATATAAGAAGAGACAAGAGAAAAATCAATTTTGAGTGACTAAAAATATACCTAGAATTTGTAACATTTGATCATTTAACAGATAAAGCATTATTTTATTCATCATCATTCACGTTGTAAACTTTATTGAAATCCATTACTGTTTCATCGTACTAATTAGCGTATCTGAGTATATTTCGAGTGACACTGATTGATCAACTTAGAACGTTAAATACCTATTTAACAGATGAAATTTCTAATCGATCTACTTTTATTTAAATGAAAAAAAAATAGTCTACATAATTACATAAAATTTATAATAATCGATTAGACAAATAAAATAGTAAGAAATTTAGTTATATTTCAATAGTTCACCAAGATAAATATTTATTATGTAAAACGAAAATCGTAACATGTTTATCTTTTAGTTCGTTGTTTTTTTTGTACACCCGTATTATGTACACCAATTGATCGTTTAGATGATTGAACTATATCTACAGTATTGTCAATAGCAATACTAGAATCTGAAGATTGAATGGTTTCAGTCATTGAAATATCTTGTGATCTTTCGTCGTCTAAACATTCTTGTTCGTCGATTGTGTTGGGTTCATTGTAAGCATTAGAGTTATTCTTCTTTTTGTTCTTCATCATCATGCAACTCTTGGACTTAACATGTTTATAGTAATTACTTAATGAAAACGTATGATGATTTTTTGTTAGTTGTACTTTAATTCCACATGAACAGGATATAGATGCTTCTTCATCTGTTCCATTAGAAACAATAAAGAGTTGAAAATCTTCCTTTTCAGTTAATGTACCGGCTGAAACATTTATTGTTTCACAATATTTTTCAAACCATTCGTTCATCATACTGATAATGGAGCTGTAATGATTGAGTTTATTCATAGAATCTAAATTAGAAAAATATAATTACAATTTATCTATTTTTATCTCCAAATGTGTTTATTTTTATTCTTTCAGTAAAATTATTTCATTTATATTTATTTTTATTTTTAAATAATAAGTAAAATAAAGTAATACTACAACTGAAAATAGAAGTGTTATTTATTGTGAGGTAAAAACTAACCTGCTGTTGTTAGAGGCTGTTGATGAGAAGATGTTGGACCGGCTTGAGATGAATCTTGTGAAATATTATGAATAGTCTGACTGTTCTCTGGAGAACTTGATTGTTTATTCCGTTTAAATTTTAATGTAATGTCTTTTTGATGCTCTTCATGTTTTTGATGAAGCAGTTGATGAAGATATCGAATACTGCCACGACAACCTGGTTTTATCATATAACTACGATCATCGGCTTCGAAGCAAATTAGTTTTTTTATATCTCTTAATGCTGAACAGGAAAGCGAAAGAATACTAAACACATCTTCTGTGTGTAAAAACGAATATACACTTCGAATACCTTGAATTTCCAATAATTTCGCTTCAGCTGACCCTGCAATTTTTTCAACAGCCCTGTAAAAATGATCATCAGAAAATGAGAGTATATCTGTTGGTAAGATCGAAGTGTCCAATATCAGATTTTGCGAGGACATTGTTGAATAATTAATTAAAAGTTAAAACATATGCACAGTGAATAAAATACGGAGTTCAAGTTCGATCTTTAAAAGTTGGAATTGAAAAATACTTATTTTTGTTAAGGCTGCATCGAAAGAACAAAGTAAAAAGATATGCACTATGTGTATACTAGCTATAAGAACTAACATATACTTAAGTAAATTACTAGACGCACTTTAAATATACTCATTATCTGATTTTTCGTATGTGCACTAAATAGAGTCTCCATATTCTAGTTTAGAATGTATTGTATAGGTTTTTCTCATGATTCAGCACGTTTACCTTAGCAAACTAAGTTTAAAAATATTGAGAAAATGAAATTACATGTTGTTTTTTTTATAAGGGTTCGTTGTATCTTTGCAGCATTTGATTCATTTGCATAGTAATTTTGTACAATTTTCTTAGTTTTCCCAACATTTTAACCAGATTGCTGGTATTTTAACCGGATCCCTGTGGGATCCCCATGGGATTTTCGGATCCCCATGGGATTTTCGGATCCCCATGGGATTTTTGGATCCCCATGGGATCCCCATGGGATTTCTTGGGATTGGGGATCTTGGGGATCCGCTTTTTCCCCCTTAGTTTTAATATTAGAATATGGGCGCGGTAAAGTTTCACATTCAATATTAATAACTGTACCGCCCCATTTCGATGTGATATCTCGAATATAATCATCGGAGATAGCTGTTGGTACGTTGACTAAACGAATTAATTTAACTTCACGATAAGGTTTATGAATGGCAAATGTTTGTTCATTTACTAATAAATTTTCTAATTCTAAAAATTTCATTTTAGATAAATTTGTTTTAAAAATAATAAACCATTTGTTTTGGTCACCTAAATTATCGAATGATTCTAAATCTGCCACTGGTACAATTTTACCAATAGCAGCTATAATTGCTGATCGATCAATACGATCATCACCTTTAATCAACGTCAACCCAACCACTTCTTGCAAAAGCTGATAACGTGACATTATATTTAATCGTTTTTTTTTCTTCTATTTTTGTTGTTGTTGTTTCAAAATAGAATACTTTTTTTGTATAATAATAATAATACAGATAGAAAAGAAAATGAAAAAAAAGCAGAAGAAAGCAATGAAACAAGCAGTGAATAAAAGAAAAAGAGAAAGTAAATAAAAATAAGGAAACAAGAAAAGTTGCTGCCAAAAAAAACAAGAAGAAAAAAAGAAGACGAAACTGACAAAGAAAGAGCGAATGAAAAGATAATAAGAATGAGATATTTGTTTTTGTTTATTTTAATAGTTTTTAAGCTTTTTTTTGTTTATTTCAGAACGGTATATGAACTAAAAATGACCACTTGATAGACTGTAATACGAAAAGAGGGTTGTATATTCTATATGCACGAGATAAAATCGCTTTCGTCTCTACGCTTTTCATCGACGAAGGGGTACTTCGCAAAGAATGATCACTTGGCAGATAATAGGATTAGCAAAACTCAAAACAATAGTTTCAAAAACAGTACTGCATTGCTAGAGATGCCGTTGGCATCCTTGATGAATGAATCGAAACGATGGAACACAAGAGAGTGATATATGTGAAGTAAAAAATGCTCGTTCTGTACAGATCGATAAGAAAAGTTACTTATTATAATTTACCATTCAAGATAAATTATTAGATTTCATCGAAAACATCTTCTGATGACGATAAAAGTGTGGATTGTTGGTAATATCGATCTACTAAAGCAACACCTTTCGATTCCTGCAATGACTTATCATATATTTTTCAAATCATGGATCAGATGTGAAATTAAAATTCGATATTTTTTTCGGACGAACGAGTTTCGAATCAATACTTCTCATATATAGTAGAAGTGAAATGAGTTTTTTGAAAATGATTGTACAAGTATTAGATTCAAAACAATAAAAATCAATGAAAGATAATTATTTTTAGGTTGAATGAGAACATATCTATGAGCTGAATTTGTACATGTTTAAATAAAATATCATGAATGATGAAAATAATCAAGTTTTATTTTAAATTGAAATAAATTTAAGTAATTGTTTGCCACGGCGATTCTTAAATATTCAATGAATCATAATTCCGTATAATGAAGAATATGACTATTCTTAACGCTAACAAACAAACAGTACCTCTGTGAATTTGACAACTAGTGGCTGAGTAACAACATGAAAATAGGAACGAGTATGCCTTAATAATATTGTTTGAAATGAAAACAAGATTGGATTTTTTCCTTCAATTCTATTGGCGTGGAAAAAAAGATTAAATGAACGCCCTAAAAGCTCATTACTTTGTTGCAAAATATGATGTAAAACATCCATTGCGCCAGTTATCAATGTTAGTTTCGAAAATATATGACTATAGTACTTTGTTGAACATAATTCAAAATATAGATCAGATGTATGTTCTATGTTCTATATTCTAGGTCCTTTGTGATCCGGCAAATCTTTCTTAACTAATTCAATTCATCTTACAATGGATGAATCCTTATCTTATCAAGTAATGAAGTTATGTGTGGACTTCGATCAAAAAATAGGCATACTAATGCATGAGTTAAGTTTCAAACAATTTCAAGAAACATTATCGTCATTTGTTCAAGCGTTGCTTGATGAACACTTGCATCTATTTTTATACGATTAGTGAATATAGTATGCACTAGAAGAAAATTTTGAATCTAAAACTAGAATTATAGAAACAAAGAAATTCTATCATACAATTTACATTAACATATTCTTTTGTTAAGATTTCTGTATTAACATATAGATCAAGTAATCTTATACTGTATGAGTATTTGCTTGCAGATAAACAACACATTGACGATAACCTGCTGTTCGAACACTAAATAAAAATACATTGACCAATGAATAATGTTTTGGATTCAACAAAAGTTATTGTTCTACTTTTAACTGTCGTAAAAGTATTGCAATATTCATTTGATACTTATAATTTTGATTGAAGAAGATGCAGAAGAGCAGCTAATCGACAATAATTCGAAACTTGAGAAAAATATAATTTAATATATATGATCACGACCGATTACCTGATTCATGTGTCATGTATTGAATTATAACATCAAGTGAAAAATTCTTTTCAGATAAATCACATTTCAAATTCTTTGTTGAACTGAAATCGAAAAAAAATTTCAACTTTCTCTACATTTTTGAACCAACATTAATAAATCATTTAACTAATTCTTAATTGAAAACAAATCAAATAATTTGCTT